AGGAACACAGGGAGGAATACACTTGCACAGTGACCCAGACCATCATTACCTTCTGAGGATTACAGTTCATCATTGCTTCTGGAAGTTTGCAGTTCTTTTCTTTGGTGCGTTATTCATGTGTCATCACTGGATAATACATAGTAAATGGGGATGCCAGAAGAGATTCATTGCAAAGTGGTTAGCTTTATTTTTGTTTTTGTTTTCGTTTTTTTTTTCCTGTTGATAAGTAACCAGTAAGTTATTTGACAAGTGGCATGGAGTTTATGTACCAAATGCATTTACTTAACTTGACAAAATGCCTCTTTGACAAACCATCAGCATCTACTATTTGTTACCAGAGCTGGGCCAAGTATCTTTTTAAATTGCAGGTAAAAAATCACCACTAGATGGCAGTGCCTGTTGTATAGATGGGGGAAGAATTGCCACTATTGGAATAAGGCAATGTAGTTGAAATGGGTGGTGAAATAGGGGCATCAGCTTAGTATTCTTTAAAGAGTTGCTCTTGAATTAATAAACTGAGTAATTTGTAGAAATGTAAGTAAGCAAAATTTGATTTTGGTTCGGACTTTTTCCTACAGCACCTTGTTTTTCATCCTGATGATTTTGAGCTTCCTATACTAGATAAATTTCTGTGCACGAGTTTATAGATGTCCTCACAGTTCCACAGTTTTATGCAGGTTACCAATACTCTGCTCTTGCAAATTCCCCAGTCCTGTCTCCATCATCTGAAATGGCGGCCATGTGACACATAGAATTACAATGAGCTAATAAATCTGGGTTAGTTAGTAAAAACTTGCTGTAGAATTTTTATCTCAAAAGACCCTCAGATCCAGTAAAATAAAGGGTTCTGTTGTAATTGGGATATAAAGTGATTAAATCCCTTTTTCACACCCCTTGTGATAACTAGAGGCTTAAACTGTTGGGACATTTTACATTTCCCTATTTTTAGTTTCTTCATTTACAACTTAATAAAAATCTTGACTTGAAATTATTCTTAGCCAGTAAAAATGTACTGGTTGTTTTATTGGATAAATTATTCTAATTTGGAAAGAATAATTTGAAACAAGTTTTAAAGTTAACTGAAATATGGAGGTTGGATTCATATCAAATTCTTGTAAAAGGTCTCGCTAACTATCATTAAACTTTGCTTTTTAAAATTTATACTTTCCCTAGACTCTTGATAAGAACCATGTGGCTGAGTACATCATCTTTAGTACATTATCTTACATTACCCACCATTTAAATTTCCTACACATGTAATGCATTTTTGTGGTCACTGTTCCGATATTTGTGTGGCAGTGACTGGCACAGTGCAGTTACATTACAGAGCAGAATGTCAGGCCTCTTTGCCAGCCTGTGCCTGCTGTGCTATCCTGCCTGCCTTGTTTCTGTGTTTTCAGTATTTGTGCCAGTTATGCTGTTTCTGGAGACACAGTGGAAGGATATACATAGGCATGTACATATATTGAGAGAACCAATTTGTTGATACATGTTTTGGGCTGGAAGGGGTTATCTTTTGCCTGCTTGGACTCCTAAGCAGGGAAATTAATTGAAGATTAGGAGTGGTTTTTAAGTGGTTGGTTTAAATTTTCATGGAGGTGGTTAAAGACTACTTACTGGCCTTCATGAGTTTTAATTGTATCATTTCTTTGACCTTTCCAACTTAACTGATTCTGAATTTGGCTTCATACCCAAGTGTTTTTTTTTACCTTAAAAATTCACACACAGTTCCTTCTTTACAAAGCTTTAAAGCTAAAAAATAAAATTGTACCTAAAACAACACTGAACAGAATAACTTGCCTGGTTCTGCCATCAACCAGCAGTGTGAGTTTGGGCAAATCCCTCCATCTTTCCAGGCTTGGTTTCCTCATTTGCCAAAGAGGGATGGTCTTGAAGATGGCCTGCTATCTATCTGAACACCCTTGGCACACTGTTAAGATGAAGTGACAGTTCTTAAAGTGAGAAGTCAGGCACAGGGTTTCTAGTTTTCATTTCCCTTGGCTGAGATTTTAGTATGTGGATGGCTGCTACCCAGGTTACTCTTAGGAATGGTATGTTCTCTCCCAAGGAATTCTTTCCAAAATAGAAAATAAAATGAGAGTGCATGGAAATTTTTCTTAAGGATATAATTATGAAATATATTTTTTTAAAAAAAATATATTGATTTTTTATAGAGAGGAAGGGAGGAGGATAGAGAGTCAGAAACATCGATGAGAGAAACATCGATCAGCTGCCTCCTGCACACTCCCTACTGGGGATGTGCCCGCAACCAAGGTACATGCCCTTGACCGGAATTGAACCTGGGACCTTTCAGTCCGCAGGCCAATGCTCTATCCACTGAGCCAAACCGGTTAGGGCTGAAATATATTTCTTATCTAGTATATTTACCATGGCAGATGACCTGTATATAAAAAAAAAGTTAGCTGTTCCTATAAGCAATAATGTTTATATTTGCTGTTGGTTTTTAAAATTCATCTTTATTGTTGCAAGTATTACATATCCCCCTTTTTTCCCATTGACCCCCTCTACCCCATATCTGCAACCCCCTCCTGGCCTTCACACTATTGTGTGTCCATGGGTTATGCATGTGTGCATATAAGTTCCCTGGTTAATCTCTTCCCACGCTTCCCTCAGCCCTTCCTTCCCTTTTGAGATTTGACAGTCTGTTCCATGCTTCTATGTCTCTGGATCTGTTTTGTTCATCAGTTTATTTTGTTCATTAGATTCCACATATGAGTGAGATCATGTGATACTTTTCTTTCTCTGACAGGCTTATTTCGTTTAATTTGCAGGCTCTTTTAAATGAGTTTGAGAAGCTTTAACCTTTAGTGTGGAGTATTTCTAAACCAAATGAGAAATGATATCTTTAGTAGCTAGTCATTTGCTCCATTAATAAGAAAAGTATGAATTGCAGTTCAAATCTTGATCACTGCTATTTCTGTTAGGTATCATTCAGTGTAGCTTACCTGCCAACATCATTTTTTTTAATGAGTCTTACTGCCTGTTTTTTGGAACTAGATATATATACACTAGAGGCCTGGTGCACAAAATTCATGCACGGGGGAGGAGTCCCCTCAACCCAGCCTGCAACTTCTCCAATCCGGGACATCCCTCTCACAATCCTGGACTGTTGGCTCCTAATCGCTCACCCACCTGCCTGCCTGGTCGCCCCTAACTGCCTCTGCATGCCGGCCTGATTGCCCCTAACTGCCCCCCCCCTGCCGGCCTGGTTGCCCCTCATGGCCTCCCTGCCAGTGTAGTTGCCCCACGCAGCCTGCTCTTCAGTTGTTTGGTCATCCCTCACTAGGCTCCCTGCAGGCCTGGTCGCTCCGCTCCTAACTGCGCCGCTTCCCCCCCTCCCGCCAGCCTGGTCACCCCTCACTAACCCCCCTGCTGGCAGCCATCTTGTGAGGGTTAATTTGCATATTACCTCTATTATATAGGATATATATATATATATATATATATATATATATATAGCCTTATAGTGAAAGAAAGGTCAGATAAAAACTACTTGTGAGATTAAATGCACAAAATGCTTTTATTACTCTACTCAAATTAAGTTGAATTGCAGTTTGAATTAGACAACTTCAGCTCATTTATACATACAGTAAGTATTCACTGGATTAATTGAATGTACAATGAACAATAAAAAATGATCCATTTCCATCTTTCTGATATTCTGGGGCAAAAACCCAAACTATTTCCTTAATTGAATACAGGTAGTAGTAATCAAAAAGGAAACTTCTTGGTATTTCACATTAACATTTTGGGATTTAGAACTTAACCATGAAATTACTTGGAAATGATGGCAGAAAATAGCATTTGAAGCTGATAGTATATTTGTCCTGTAAGTCTCAATGATTTCTATATATTGGGACCAGCTGGCCAGAAAATTAAATTAGAATTTTGTACATGCTCAGGTGTTCAAATAGAGTTATAGGACCCTTGCCCCCAACACACATCCCAAAAAAGAGGGGGGAAAAATGTCTTCTTTCTTACAGGTACACACAATATATTCTCAAAATTGTTCTCAAGTGGAGTACTCATGAGGGTAGGTAGCCAATAGTGGCAGGGCTAGATAGGCCTCAGCTTCCAGGTATATTAAAGCGAGGCCCCTTTAATTCATGCAGTGAGCTTTCATGCATATAGTTGAGTGCACATTATGTGATTATAGAATCAGGAAATTCTTTAACATTTGTTCTTCATTGGGCAAGTTAATTCACCCAGCATATGCTGAGTAGTAACAACATTTTTCACAAAGCCCATGGTTTACTTTCATGTTACTAACTCCTCAAAAACACCAAGCATTATATTGTAAAATCCCAGTGCTAATTAAACAGCAAACATTTGCTTGTTTGGATATTTTACAGATTTACTTACAAAAACCAAGCATGTGTATATTTATTTTTAAAGCTCAAATATTTAAACTTGCAGAAGTTGTGCCTACAAGCAGTCAAAAATATAAAGCAGATTTTCATAAAATGTAGTAAAAAATGAACACTTTGTTGCAGGTGCATTACATTTTATCCGAAGCTAAGCTTCCATAGTAGTGTAATCCTCACTGCATACATTTACCATAATGTCTCTAATTAGAGACTGGGGTGTTCATCCTTTTACTATCTCTACGTGTAAATGAATAGAACATTATTAGAATTCTAAGACACTTTGGATAAATTGCTACACAGGGTCATTTTTGGGGCCAAGCAACACTGAATATTTAAAAGGTAACGAAAGCAAATACCTAGGAATTACATTTTGTTGAAAATGATAAGGGAAACAGCTTGCTAACACTTAGAATGTGAAAATAGGAAAACAAATGTAAAATTGTTTTTGCTTATTTTCCCAAGCAGGACTTCTGAATTAACATAGCCTCTTCTTTCTACACAATCCACATTGCATCTGTGGATTTTGTTCATTTGAAAAAAACAGATCTGTCTGTATAGCCTCCTTTAAGTTCTATGCCTGAAGTTAATACAACTTTCCCCGCCATATGCTTTCCATTGCATTAGCATGAGGTGTACAGAGCAATGCAAGAATAGGTGACTCCAGTCCAAGATAAGAAAATAGAATGGATTTTCTTAGTTGTGAGTTTTCAGATGTGCTCATAATTCGGGTGCACAGTGGTAGCGACAGCAGACACCTCAGAATCCGGGGACACTAGAGGTTGAGCAGCGGCTGCTAAGTGATTTAAAAGACTGGCTAGGAACACCTTTCTGTACCGGCATAGACCGATATTTGAACCATGCAGCTCCTGTGGCTCATGCATTCATTGCCTTATGATCTGTAGTCCTTTTTGCTGTAGGGCTTGTTGCGTAATATGTTATCAATCTCATTTACCACGTGTGATGTCATCTTTGGGAGAACCTGAGAGCATGAGAAGTACAAAGGATGTAGTTAGTACTTGATATTTGTTCTTTCTGCTCACTATTGGGCAAAGTTGTCTAGACTGGAGTACGTTTAAAAACCACCACTGGAAAATACTCCTCACCAGACCCTAAGCTCCTTGAGGTCAGGGACCTTGTTTTGTTCACTGCATCTCCAGTGCCTCTAAGAGTGCTTGGCCCATAGTGCTCATAATTATCAGTCGGCTGGATAAATGAAGACATAAGATGTAAATGAAGGCTGATAGAAATGTATAATTCCCACAGAAGTTCTGCCCAGTAGAAATATAATGCGAGCCACATAATGTGATTTTAGGTTTTCTAGTGGCCACATTCATAAAAGTGAAAAGATGTGAAATTAATACCTGACTTTACTCCATTATAGCCAAAACATCATTTCAGTATGTAGTCAGTATAGAAAATTCTTAAGACGCTTTGCATATTTTTAAACTACTATGTTTTTCTGATCTCTAGTACATGTTATACTTACTCTGCATTTGGACTAGTCACCTTGCATACGCCAAAGAACCACATGTGGCTAGAGGCTACGGTACTGGGCAGCACAGGTCTAGAGACTAGGAGAGATTCTTTACCACTGGTGGTCAGCACCCTGGTCAAGGATGGCCAGGGGTTAGCAGGCATCCTGGGGTGGATGGCACAGCATGAAAAAGTGAAAAGTCCGAGAAACGGAGTGATACAAGCGTAAAGTGAGTGGTGGAGGTATGGGGATGGTAGGAACAGGAGAAAAAGACATTGGGGTAAAGAAGGCAGAAGGCCTTGCATATGGTTTTTTTTTGGGGGGGGGGACACTTTATTCAGTAGACATTGGGGAACCTCTCAGGACTTTTCAGCTGGGAGTGAACCTAAGAGACACCTAGTGGTAGTTTGAAGGATGAGTTGGAGGAGATTGAAAGGGGACATAGATGTTAGCAATTTATTGCCCTGGGCAGTTAAGAGCCTTAACTGGGACAGGGGCAGTGGAGGAGAAAAGGGGTGTGCATCTGGGGCATTTTAGAGGATGGTGGTGGTTTCCGGACTGGATGACTAGAAACATATGATGTGGATTACTGAGACGTGTTCACGGGAGGAGAAGTTTGGAGTAGGATGTATTGAGTTCAGGGTGCCAGTGGGAGACGCATGTGGAAATGATTTGTAGGCAGCGGAAGGGCAGCTGTGGAGCTTGCTTGCTGGTAGCAGGACTGGAGTTGAGGATTTGTGAGTCATCTCCATGGATATGCTAATTAAAG